AAATAATAAAGCAATCTTGCTTGTTCTTGCACACAAAACCATCAAGGTACCCCAACGGAGCTAGTTCGCAAAAGATTCATTGTTTCAAGTCACAAAAAAATAAAATAAATTACAAACGAAGGAATTTAGGTCTTATTTTTATCTATATCTCATATTCATACTAAAATTAATATTCAGTCCAAAATTCACCCCAATCGGAGTTCATTAGAGCCATCAAATACATCATTCAAGTTTCATCGGTAGATTCAGTCTAGAATCTTGTCAAATTTCTTGAAAATTATACAAGAGGAATTTCGTGGGAAAATTTCCATATTGAAAATTAATATATTCAAGATAATTCAAACAAAAAATCAGAATTTTTGGAGATCAATGACACCTTTGAACAAAGCGATCAAGAAAAACAGATTATTTGATGAGTCACTGTTCAATAGAGTCTACTGGATACTACTGAAGGTATTTGGTTCTGAAATTTCACAGGCGGTTTCTTTACGCATCGAAAGACATTCAAGAATTTTTCCAAAATATTTGGACACTGGTAACCCTCTCAAAAATGTTTCTCAAGTTGATCCAGCGTTTTCTAGGTTTTCTGGTTTGGTTCTTTTTTTCTTTGACTCTTAGTGCTTTAGGTTCTTTTGTTTTTTCCTTTTATTGTTCTTTTGCTTTATCTAACACTTTATTTTTCTTGTGTTAGTAGGACTAAAGAGTTTGCATACTTCTTCCTTCTTTGCATTCTCGTTCTCTTGGAGTCTAATCTTTTTTTGGCCTCTTAGAGATTTTAAGTTTTTCTTATCACCTTTGCTAGTCAAACTCCGATACGAACTGTGGAAGACTACTTGGTAAAGTGAGTTTTAAAGAGTACAAGATCGGCTTACTTGCCTTTCGTTGTGTTACTTTCTTGGAGTAACTTATGAGGTTTCTTGCTTTGTTGAATATTCTTTATTTTATTTTTATTTTACTTTAAAATTTTCTTTCGAGTGTTATGATTTCAGGATGGGCGACAATAACAACAAGACACTTACGGCTATCTTAGCCGTACTTGCACGACTTACGACTCAAGTTGAAAGATTTGATGAACTTACCAATACCTTGAGATAACGACAAGAACCACAGCTGGATCTATCAAACCATGGGTGGTGAGTGAACCTAAATGTGAGAAGAAAAGAGTGACTCAAAATCAATGTATGAGCACAAAAGAATTGAGAGAGAACCTTCTTTACAAACAGCCTTCCATCCTTGTTCACTTTAGGGAATCAATTGTTTTGATTTCTAACATTAACAAGGATTTTCTTAGTGTGTTTTCATCTTTATTACAAGATTTTCAAGAAGTGTTAGGTGATCCACCTAATGAATTACCACCGAAAAGAAGAAAACAACACCAAACCAATCTAATTCAAGGTTCCATCATACCTCGTCAGACATACAATATCAAAGAAACCAAAGAGTTAGATTTGTTATGAAAAGGCTACATCCATGAAAGCCTTAGTAGCGATGCCATCTTAATGATGAAACATGATTTGAACAACTCCACAGGCTTTATAGTTCGTGCACAGGAAATCCAAATAAATGATAAAAAAGTAAAAGTAACATGAGATTGGCCCACACCATCTTCCATCGCCAAGAGTTGTCGAATAGTGTTAGGTGACCCTCCTGATGGGTTACCACCTGAAAGCCCTAATCACTATGCCATATCAATGAAGAGTCACGATTTACGGGAGTTCAAAGGTAAATATTTTATTACTCATTTTAATGACATTGTAACGTACTTCTTCTCCTTTTTACAAGGTAAGGCTCGTGAAGTTGTCATCCATACTAAACACAACTCCTTTAAGTACATAACAGACCGAGGTAAGCAAAACACGATGCACTACCACGAAGGTATACTCTTACCTAACAAATGCATACTAATTTTCCGATAATTGAACATATCAAAGATGTATATCACAATAACTCGAATATTTCTGATATTTCTACTCATACTTTTAAAAGTGCTTCTAATGAGTTTTATCTTGTATATGAGTTTCCTTGCCAACTAAATAGGTTTTACAGTCCACAAATCTCTTCCAGAGAATTATTAATTCATGAACCACACTTAGGAGACTTAAGGGATTACTTTAGCAAACCAGTTAACATGGTTTTTAAACACTCATTCTCGCCACACAAGAATAAAACCATGGGGAAATTATCTGAAGAAATCATACAGAAAGCCAACAGTGGTCGGCGCCATGTTGTATTTCAACTTAAACATCATATTACAAGACTTGTATACAAAAGAGTATTTCAAGACTACAAGAAATCAGTTCCTACAAAGAAGAAACCTCGACTAAAACGCATAAAGACACATCACATTGATCCTTGTAAATGTTTCACAAGTTTTTCTTTCAACACATCTAATTCTCTTTCTTTTGGATTTTTAGATTCGAGGACAAATCCTTTTGAGGAGTGGGGGAATGATACATGCACCAGGGTCCATAATACATGCTTCTTTGGATTAATGTTTCTACTCGAACCTATTAGAAGAACAAAGTCTCGAAGATTCAAAGCATATCTATTCGGTAAGTATAATGTGAATGAATCATTAAACGATTCTAATGTTGCTCCCTTTAATGTTTCAGATTCAAGGTCAAATCATTTTGAAGAAAGGGAGGATGATACATGCATCACAGGGCTCACATCAAAGGAAGAAGTAATAACTCTTCCAAATGATCCACTCGTCCAAGCATTGGACACTACTAGAAAAAACCCCTTTAATGACGCGCATTGCGCGTCATCTATGGGTGTAGATGATACACAAATGCGCGTCATTGAAGCCACCGACATAAATCTCAGATGACACGTAATTGTGTTTCATAAATCTATGACACGCATATTTATAACACGCATTTATGACGCACATTGCAAGTCATTGAAGCCCCGTCATAAATGAAGATGACACGTATTTATGACTTACATTGCGTGTCATTGAAGCAAATGTCATTAAAAAAGATGACACACATTCGTGTGTCGTGATTGTATGTCGTAAATTATATATATATATATATATATATTGTAGATTGACAAATAATCAAACTAAATCACATTTAATGCCTCATAATACTAAATATATATATATATATATATATATATATATGTATATATCATATTATATATAAACAATCCATTTGCATACAATATATTAACATCAAGTTATAAAAAATATTGTAATCATATGTCGATGCAAAATATCACTGCACAATAAAGTTTGCCACATGAGATACCCATTCTTTGCGAATATCATCAATGTCATCATCCGTGTATTCTTCCTTTCCATCGCCAACCTAAGTAAAAAATATGAAATAAGTGTATAATTTATACTTATTTAAAGTGAAGTATATAACTATCAAAGAGTACTAAAATGACCAATTTTACATATGCATTTTTTGAAACATATGTAAAAATAAATTTTACACATTTAATTAGTAAAACTTCCCATATAAATTATATACATTATCACGACACAAATTCACAGTTTTCAGTCTTGCTAACAAGTACTTGCATTAATTTGTTTAGAATAGCATCCTACTTCAAGTCCATATGATAGTTGTATGACTAATGTGTATGTATGATATGACAGGTGTGTATCAGAAAAGTTTGCTTATATTCTTATTGACCAGCACTTCACGTTCGTTCTCGACTATCTCTTTCATGAACTTACAAACATAATATCCACACTCGGTACCTCCCGACTGACGGGGACACTATAAATTCAAGGATTGATTATTAGATTTAAAAGATTAGTACAATGTATACAAATAGGAAAATGGAAGAAATTTAGATAGCAATAGCACACAATAAGAAGGTAATCATCAGAAACTTAGAATCACAGAGATTCAAAAGCACTTACAATGTCAAAGATATTAAACAAAAAAACACATATATTGAATAGTAAATCCATGGTTCTGCTCTAATAGATGTTTCAGGGTTCAATATCTCCTTAACATGCTCCCAAAATGATGAACCAAGGATACTACCAATAATGCAATGTGTTAAGATCATTTTGGGCATTCAAAAAATAGATAGCTTTAAGGTAAGTCCGTAGGATAAGACAAACAACAAACCCAATATATGTAATGCATCAAAAGAATATTGCCCCAAAAATACGAATAGAACAGAGGATTCAAAATAAGTTTTTAAATCACTTCAGGGCACAATTACCTTGCTACAATACTTGGAAAAGCCAATAGATAAGTGGTAGTGAGAACAGGCTGCATTCCTGATGGATTAATATTAAAATGAATATAGGGTTCTACTTCAGTGATCAGGGTATCTTCCCTATCCAACACACAAAACAAAGAAAATACGACATTGAGAAAGAACATATATCCATTATTATAAGTTAATAAACAAACACTGAAAGTTACAAATCTCCTTAAATGAATTCAACAATAGTCATAGTTCACATAAAATTAGTTACTGCTCCCTGCTCGGATTAGCCATGAACTGTATTATCTATGCTGCACAAAGAAGAATTGAAACCAAAGCCTATGTCTCTCCACCAAATGCATCTAATGTCTAGGTAAGTAGCATTGACTTTACCTTGTAGCAGATGCTAGTTTAAACTCATAGTACTGCAACTTTATTTTCCTACAACCCTAAGTTACAACAACTGCCCACATGGTGACCTTGCACAATCAGAATTTTAGATTGAACAACTAAAGCAGCTTAAAGCCTATATATAGTTTTTACATATAATACCATTATATAGTAAGTAAACTCGTTATTTATACACATAATACCATCATAAGTACTTAAGAAAGCTGAAGCTAATTTGATGATCAGATTCAGGACAGTTTAAGACAAGCTTGTGGATTATTGTATCGATTTTTCAGTCATTATTTGAGCTTGGAGATTGAAAAAGACATAAGGATGTTTAGCTGAGTTTGAAGAGTTTTAAGCGTTTAATCTTTGGCTCACGTCACCTTTCTTTGCATCCTTAGATTAAAATAAATTAAAAACATAAAGAGAGATAGATTGTAATTAAACTTGCAATACCTACAAACTAGAGTATATCGCTAGCCCCAACTTCAGAGGCGTTGTATGATTACGCGAACCAGTTGGTAGAACAACCACCCAACTGCAAGTAATGCATTAATGAGAAGATACATAATTTGTTTAGAGAAAGAAAATGTTACTAATTGGAAGCAAATTAAGGTTTACATTAATAGGAATCATCAAGGCATATTACTTCTATGGCATAACGCAACAAACAAGCAAAAATCAATCAAAATAAAAAACATTTTGTACACTAATACTCACACTTTTCTTGAAACCAATTGAGGAACAAAGATTTCGATGAATCCTGGCCCATAAAATTCTCGCATCCAACCAGAGAACAGACATATGTGCTCCTACAGAGTATCAAAAGAAGAAAAGATAAATTTAATTCAAAGTTGTGAGAAGGTTTTACAATAAAGAGAATTATCAAAGATAAACTTCAAATTATACCTCGATAGCTCGCACAACATTGATGTTACCTTTCTCCCTAGCAACATCTAGAGGCGTTTGACAATCATCATTCATTGCCAATGGATTAGCTGAAAATATAAACAAGTCACTCAGAAGACAACACTACACAGTTCAAATAAATCATTTTTGGGTATAGGAACTAATAACTCGGTTTTCGCTAACCTCCATGGGAAAGAAGTAATTTGACTGTATTTAGAAGGCCCCTCTTTGCTGCATGGTGCAAGGGAGTCCCGCCATGCCGACCTAAACACAAATTAGAATACCAAAACCAAAATCATTTCATAAATTATTTACTTCAACAAAGTCCCCCAAAGCTTCTTTACTTTGACAACTGTAAATTTCTTCCTCCTTAAACCAACATCATTAATGGTAACGAGAAAATCCCCAAAGATTTTGGTGACTCTATGCGTGCTTTGGTTTGCTCATAACAAATCTATTCACGAAGGCATTAACACAAGAAATGAAGAGATGTTCACCTCAATAAAAAGCCAATGTTCAGATTTTGAGAAAGCAAACATCCGTCTTCGTGGTACAAACGGGAGTTCAGTCAGTGGTTGGATTCCACCTCCACCCACAATTGTTAAAGAGAATTTTGATGCAGGTTTTGCTCATCATAAACAATAATCAGTTTCAGGGGTGTTAATAAGATATGAAGGGGGCTTTATCATGGGGGATTACCGAAGAACAAATCAGAACGTTACCTGGGGTTTTATGGCAGAGGCGATAGCAACGAAACAGGTGATGGATTTTACATGGGATATAGGTTTCTATAGAATCATAGTGGAGGGTGATTCGAGGTCCGTTATAAGCAAGTTATCCTCCAAAGATAAAGATTTTTTAGAGATCAACACCTGGTTTAAAGATACAAAAAGAAAGGTAGAAGTTTTTTAAACATGCAAGTTTAGCTTCATATCTAGATCGGGCAATAGACCAACTCATTTAATGGCGACTGTGATAGAGCTATGAGATGAAGACAAATAGATTTTTAGAGATGACGCACAATGAAAAGTGTACTCCATGTGTTTGCTAAATGTTTTGGATTATGACTATTAAATATGACACACATTATTGTAAGTCATAAATCGTTCAGATTTTAAGAACCATGACATTTTTTTATGACACACATTTTTTGCAAGCTATAAATTAACGTGTGTCATCGTTCGTGTGTCATCAAAGGTATATTTTCTTATAGTGGGAAAAGAAGATCAGAACATAAGCATACTTGCGACTACTTTTTGAATGGTATTATGATCTTATTTGTTCAAGATGTCTTCTGGATATACAATCTTGTATCTCATATCTTTCCAACGGTTCTTGAATCGCATCAATCCGATATCAGGAACTCAAGATATGGTCATTTTACTGAAGACGGTGCATGCAGGAAATCCTATACGGGATTAATACGTAATGTTGTAAATATTACGAATTTTCAATATTTATATTGATTATTTGTAATATAATTTAATATATGATGAAGAATTATCTTTTAGGATCAATTTTTTTATTTTATTAGGAATTAAGGTTGGGTTAAAACAATATTTTTAGTTATTATTATTTTATTAGGAATTAGAGTTAAGACACGTTTAGTTTATTATTATTTTATTCTTTAGTTATTTATGACCTTTAGAACTCAGCCCCTATATAAAGGAGGCTTCATTCAACTTTGTAAATAAGATTTCTTTGATTAATAATACAAAGAGAGTTCGTTTTTATAAGTGTTGATTGCCTTGTGCCTTCGAAGCTTCTTCTCCTTGAGTTCTTTCAAGTTCTTGTGAGAGAGATTAATCTTCACACTCCGATTTGCCTTTTCATTGCGACTAGGAGGGTTAGTTAGAGCCATATTATCATGTTTTCCTTTTCATTGCGACTAGTAGGGCTTGATAGGACACTTATCCATCTATTTTCCACAAATCCATCCTCACCATCATCATCTTTACCATTCACCTTCATAAGGGAGATCTTCTGATTTCTTGGTTATCATTCTTTATTTTAAATTTCTTTATCTTTTATTTATCTTGTTCTAATCTTATTTCTTACCTTGCTTCCAGAACCTAAAAGAAACCCTAAGAACCCTACTTGTTGCTGCCACCTTCCCCTATTCATCCTCTTTGTTCTCCATCGAGTTTAGAGCTTTTCTAGGTTTGATTCTTTAACAAGAGCAACGTTCATTAACCCACCACCGCTTTCCTATCAACTCCCATATCTGCAAGCAGTGCACTCACCCATTTTATTTCAGCAGTAGCATCAGTAACACTCCTATATTCAGCTTCCATGGTAGATCGAGAAACTGACTTTTGCTTTTTCAAACTCCACATAACCAGATTATCACCAACAAAGATGCAATTACCTGTGATGGACTTTCGATCATCTATGTTAGCATCAACAAAGGCTACAACATGCATACATGTCACTGCTGGTGCTATAACCAGACCATGGTTAAGTGTACCCACCAAATATCTTAGAATTCGCTTAACAACTACAAAGTGCTCATGTCTTGGTGCATGCATGTATTGTGTGACCTTATTAACACTAAACGAAATGCCAGGACGTATGTGGAAAGCATATAGAAGTGCACCTACAATACTGCGATACTCATACGCATCAGACAGCAGTTCACCATCATCTTGTGCAAGTCTCGATGTTACCAGCATAGGAGTGGACACAACTTCTGCATTATGCATCTTAGTCTTCATCAGCAACTCCAACACAAACTTGCGTTAACTAAGAATTAATGTTTCTCTACATCTTTTAACCTCAATTCCAAGAAAGTAGCTAAGTTCTCCAAGATCCTTTAGAGCAAATTCATCACTCAACAGTTTCACAACTTCTTCAATCTGTGCATCCAACTCACCTGTGATCACTATATCATCAACATACACCAACATATACATATACAACCCTTGAACACGGCGTATAAACAAGAAAGTGTCTTCCTTGTATTCTTTAAATCCTATTTGCATCAAACACTGCTTTAAATTTGTATGTCAACTGCATGGTGCATGTTTCAAGCCATACAAAGCCTTCTAAAGTTTACACACTAACACGGTACCATCAGAAGCCCTTTGCTCAAATCCAGGTGGTTGTTGCATGAATAAATCTTTATGTAAGTCTCCATGCAAGAAGGTGTTGTTAACATCAACCTGATGCAACTGCTAGGCCCTTGTTACAGCCAAGGATAATATCACATTAAGCATAGCAAACTTCACTACTGGACTAAAAGTTTCATTGAAATCAAACATGGGACCTGGGAATACCCTCATGCTACAAGTCATGCTTTGTATCGACTAATGGACCCGTCTGGGTTTTTTTTCACCATGAATAGCCACTTACATCCCACTACTGACCATCCTTCAGGCAATGGAACCAGTGACCATGTATCATTTGCCTTCAATGCTTTAAGTTCAATATGCACAACATTCTTCCAATGTGGTGACTGGAGAGCCTCATGAACATTAACAGGCTTCATTGTGTCATAGGTAACAGAATACACTTTAGGCTTGAAAACACCACATTTACTTCTCATGAGCATGGGATGATGATTTGATATTGTCTCGACAGCATTTCTTGCCTCTAAATCCACACTACCATGAACACTTGAATCTTCATTTGCTTGATGAACATTACCACCATCACATGCATTATGTTGATCATCAATTGCATTATGTTGATCATCAGTTGCATTATGCTGATCAATATCAACATTTAAACTCGAGAACTCATCCTCAGCTACCTCTGTCATTTCTTCATGAGCTAAGTCCTCCCTCAAACTATAAGTTACTGGTTCGACACCCACAGCAGCACCACCAGCTTATAATTTACTAACATCTGTAACAAGCTCAATAGACCTTGATTTAGAGTTTGTAACACCATATGTGACAGGAGAAGTAGCAGAACTCATGAATGAAAAAATTGCCTCATCAAAAACCACATACCTCGATATATAAATTCTTCCTCTGTAGCTAGGCACATATAACCCTTATGTTGTGGACTGTACCCTAAAAATATGCATGATTGAGATCTGAAATCTAGCTTGTGCCTCTAAAACAACCTCAAATGTGGATAGCACTTACATCCAAATACCCTCATCAATTCATACTCAGGCTTTTTTCCCCACAGCTTCTCAAGAGGAGACACCCTATCTAACACCTTTGTTGGTAATCGATTGATGATGTAAACAGCAGTGACAGTAACATAATACCATAAACGCAGAGGCATTGCAGCTTGAGCCAAGAGCACTAAGGCCAATTCAACAATATGTTTGTGTTTCCTTTCAACTACTCCATTCTGTTCAGAAGTGTGTGGGCATGCTACTCTATGAGCCCTCTTTAGCTAGAACAGAATAAAGACTCATGTACTCACCACCCCAATCACTTTGAACAACTTTGACAGGCATACCAAACTGAGTCAACACCATTTTCTGAAATTGTTTAAACACAGCCACAACTTGTGATCTATCTGTTAGAAAATATACCCAAGAATGTCTCGAATATGCATCTACAAATGACAAATAGTAGCGATAACCATTGGACATTACATGAGCCGGTCCCCAAATATCAGTGAACACAAGTTGAAACGGTTTATTATAAACAGTAGTAGAACCAACAAAAGGCAATTTATGACTTTTACTAATGCAACAAGCTTCACACATGTTATTCATATCCTTAGAAAGCATTACATCAAGTGTTTTACAAACATTTGCTACAGTGCTATACATTGCATGTCCTAACCGACGATGCCAAAGGCTGAAACTATTTGCAACAACAACTAAATGAGCAGCAGCACTTCTACCAGCACCTGAACCTGGATCTCCTGAGAAAACATACAGACCACCCTCAACTCGCCCACGCAGTAGAACATCACGAACACAACATCCATGAGCGTGAAACTCAAAGTACACTCTATTGTCCCTAGAAAACTTGGACACCGAGAGTAGATTCTATGTTATTCTAGGCACATGAAGCATATCAATTAGAAAAAACGATCTGGTTGAAGTTTCTAAGGTGGCATTACCAATCATATTAACATGTAAAGAAAGAACATCATCAACCATAAGCTTACCTGGCCCACCACGTTCTACTCGATGAGTAATATTACCTGACTTTGGTGTCACGTGATGTGTGGCACCTAAATCTACCACCCATTCATCCTGAACAGGTCCAGAAGACACATGATCACGAGAAGTACCCTCTTTCCCCGACTGAGATCGAGAACTATTAGAATATCATTCACAGCCAGCATTATTATAAGAGACATTATTAGCTCTTGCAAAGTCACTCGTGTATTGAGATTGACTGGTGTTGGAAGTCACAATGTGAAAATTCTCATCATACCGATGCTAGCACCGGTCAACAAGATGACATGGCTTCTCACACAA